TGATCTGCCTCGCCAGAGAAGAGCGCAATGATGGTGCCAACTTGGGCCAGTGAAGCAACGTCCTCCACAACTAGATTGAAGAACAAAATGACAGCAACTTGTCTGTTCCCCTTCCCCCAATTCCCCCAGCACTGTTCCAATTCCCTCAATAAAAAAATCTTTAAAAACAAACAAACAACAAAAAAAACCCCCACATTTTTAAATGGCAGCCTAGTTTATTCCATTGCATGGCTATGCCATCATTTAATCAATTTATGTTTGGACTTTTGGGTAGTAAGTTATTTCCTCTAATATATAACCCCATAATGAATAGCTTGCAGTTTAAGTTTTTGTGCACAGCTCTGATTACGCTCTTGTGATAAACTAACAAGTGGAATTACTGGGCAAATATCTATTTATCTATCTTTATGTTCCTAATATGCATTGCCATATTTTCCTTCAGGAAAATTGTGCTTATTTAGCTTCCACCAAAAGTGTATGGGGGTTTCTGATAAAAGCCATTGTATATGAAAATTTTTGTTGGGTGAAAATTATCCGGTATTGATGATCAGAATCAGGGCAGGACCAGGCTCGGAGCTCTGAGTTAGAAGGCCGCCCTGGCAGGAATCCCCGAGAACCAGCCTCCTCAGTTCAGTGTCTCAAGGTGTAAGCTCTCGCTTCGTGCCAGGAGCTGAAGGAGACACCAACCATGGAAGACACTGCACTTGCCTACCGAAAAGCTCCCTCAGATTTTGCAAACGCACACCAAAGCAGGCCGAGCGAATTTGGCCTAAGACCCCAGGCAGGAGTACCCTTTCCACCCCTTCCCAGGATTAATTCCTTTCCCATTAAACGGTGATACAATTCCTGCCCTGTCATCCCCTCTGGGCTGTCGTGGGCCTCCAAGGAGATGAAAACGTGAAGGAGCGTGGTGCACTCCTACACAATCATAAAGGGAGAGAGAGACATTCATTGACCCTGCATGACAGGAGGCCGGGGGCGGAGACGCTCAGAGCGCGCCGGGGCGGGGCCCCTGGTAGGCGGCTCAGGAGGCGGCACCAGGGAGCGGCCCTCCGACCCAACCCTCCACGCCGGCCCCTCCCAGCCACAGA